ATATATATATATATATATATATATATATATACACACACACACACACTCAATAAACATTTGTTGAAAACAAGTTTAAATTTCTTATTTTAAAATACCAAGCTCGCCCGGCCGGGCGTGGCTCAGCGGTTGAGCGTCAACCTGGGATCCAGGTGATCAGGGTTCGATTTCCAGTCAGGGCACATGCCCGGGTTGTGGGCTTGATCAATGACTCCCTCATCATTGATGTTTCTGTCTCTCTCTCTCCCTCTCCTTTCCTCTCTCTGAAATCAATAAAGATATATTTTAAAAAATAAATAAATAAAAAATAAAATAAAATACCACGCTCCTCCAAAATCTGGTCCCCTACCTTACTGCTCTTGCCTTATCATACCTTACATCAGGTCTTTGTCACTGTTAAGAACAGTAACCAAAACTGGGAATCTGGAGAACTGAGAACTATAAACCCTTTGAATGTGTAATGAAACATTTTAATAGGTCCTCCTAAAGATATTTCATTATAGTATCACTGTTTGACCTGCTGTTTACTATTGGTTAGGAACCAAATTCTATGAAGGTAAATTCATAGAACTGTAGATTTTTTTTTTTTTAAATGTATCTTTATTGATTTCAGAGAGAGGAAGGGAGAGGGAAAGGGAGAGATAGAAACATCAATGATGAAAGAGTCATTGATCAGCTGCAGCCCACAACCCAGGCATGTGCCCTGACCAGGAATCGAACCCTGATCGCCTGGATCCTAGGTAGATGCTCAACCGCCGAGCCACGCCCGGCCGGGCAGAATTGTAGATTTTTATTCGGTAGAGATAATTTCTTTCTTTTCTTTTTTTTAAAATATATCTTTAATGATTTCAGAGAGAGGAAGGGAGAGGGAGAGAGAGATAGAAACATCAATGATGAGAGTCACTGATGGACTGCCTCCTGCAGGACCCCTGCTGGGGATGGAGCCTGCAACCCGGGCATGTGCCCTGACGGGGAATCGAACCCCGATCTCCTGGGTCATAGGTCGATGTTCAACCGCTGAGCCATACCCAGCCAGGTTCAGTAGAGATAATTTCTGTTCAGCAGAATCCAAAGGTTTTACTACCCTGTAGGCCATTAAACAATATTTTGTATCTAGTTTAGCAATTTATTTCAATGTTCTTTCTTCAGTGTCTACAAATACAGTTAATTCCTCAAATGCTCTTGGAATCAGTTTTACTATCCTGCTATTTCCTTAATAATGAGTTAAATAAATCTATGACATATGGTCATTCTATATTTGTCTGGGAGGGGTGGAATGGGCAAGGAAGAATAAAAGAGCACAGTGATATGCTGACCAACAGGGCTCTATTTTTAGTTTTTTAGCTTTTTATTGATTTTTAGAGAGAAGAAGAGGGAGAG